GTCGTTAAATTGTCTTACTACAATTACCACAAAAAAAAAAAAAAAAAAAAATATATATATATATATACATATATATATATATGCAGTATCCAAGTCCTTTCAGTGTCTTCTCATGTCCCACTATTCTCTCCATTTTCTCAAGAAATACTTTGTTGGCTTCTATACTTTGAAGTCCAAAGCAGTGTAGCTTCTAGCTTTTACCAAACACATCAAAACTATATGGACTGTGTCTACTTTGGCTCAACATTAGTTGGTATAAGATACATTTGTGTGTGTGACTGCAGTTCATTTTAATTCTGTGGTAATTCGTTGTATGATGGTTGTTGGTGGGCATTAGATTATACTATGCTTCTGACTGTGGCCAAAGATGTTTCTGTTAATAACATTCTTACATTTTGTAGGATTCCTCTGAATTACATTCCAGGCCATTTTACCCATGATGGAGTTGGCTGGGTCAAAAAATACACTTACTTTCCACATGCTAAGTAATCCAACCTGTACCACTCTACCCTCTCACTGACAATTCAGTTCTATACTAGGAGCGATCAGTCTACATTTCTTGCCAGTCTTAACTATGTGTTGATTGGCATTTGGATTTCCTCTTTCATAAAGTGATGTTTCAAGTTCTCATCGTATTTTTCTGTTAAGTTTATTTTATTGATCTACAAGAGTCTAATTCTGAACACGAGGCTTTTGTGAATCATATACACCTAATGTAAATTATTTTGTTTGCTTTTGCATTCTCTTTAATGATATGCTAATGTCAGTGTCATCAAATGTAATCAATATTTTCAACCTTTCCCTACCCTAAGGTCAAGCAAATTCTCTTCTATGCAGTCTTTGAGAACTTCTATGTTTGAGATTCATTCTGTGACACTTAGTTCTCTTTTTGTGCATCATGTGCAGTGAGATCTAATCACAGCCTAAAATAATCTGGGATCGCTCTCTATAAATCTCGAAGTCCTTATCGGAGAGCTGGGACTATTCTAAGTGACAAGAAATCCGCACATGTCTTGGGAAGACGATTTTTGTCACTGTTATATTTAACTTAGAGATGTAATGCACATTTATTGCAAACTATTCCAAGAGGAATTAAATATGTAGACCACAGTACTTCTTTGCTGCCTGCTTACCAATCACACACTTAATTTCCCCCTCCCCTTGCCACCAGCATTCTATTGTGTGACTCTGTAAATTTGATTACTGCAGGTATTTCATAAGATGAAATCGTTGTTTGTATTTGTGCCTCTGAGTGTAGCCAGTAATCCCCCTACAGGGAACTATTGCTAACACCTGCTGAGCAGGCTTCTGGAACATTCTCTCAGTCCCAGGTAAACATCTGTACACCACCAGTATCCACAGGGACTCCTTGTTATTTTCTCTATCGAGGCAGCTTTATTGTCAATCAAATTAAATCCAAACACGTCAGAGACTTGCTCACCGGTTTCTGCAGGGATAGCACATGCATCTGATTTGGTACTTAGATTTTTAATTCTTCTTACTCATAAAGACAGGACTGCAAACTGCAGCCTATGACCCAAGTCCAGCACACCTCCTGATTTTGTAAGTAAAGTTTTGCTAGACATCATACGTTATCTGTAGCTGCTGCTACTTTTAACATCAGAGTTGAGTAATTATGGCAGAGATCGTGTGTCCTTCGATGTCTAAAACGTATACTGTGTGTTTAGGACTCTTCTGTCTACCTATGGAACAGTACTTTACTGTTACACAAATATCCAGTGTTATGCCTGGCTCGTTCGTAGATATCTGTCACAGAGAATTAGCTACAGTCATAGATTAAAATATTTCATTGAGGCTTTTATTATTTTCAGTACTCCCCAACATTAGATATAAGCAGTGGGACTAACCACTGCTTCAAGCAATGTATTAAAAACCCTATTTAAAATTGCTAAACTTAAACACATGCACAACACACCCTAAAGACCAACTCCTTTTGGTCATGTATGTGTTTTGTCAACTGCAACATGAAGAAGTAAGCATTTATATACACAGCCATTGTCACCTAAATGCTAGTCCCCGTTATATAATTACTACAAAAGTCTGCACCAAGCTAGTAAACAAGTGAGCACTAGTAACCTTGGTAGTGTGGATATTTTAACCTGACCTCTACCAGAGGAAAGGCCACGCACTCACACTGACTTGAGAGTCACGGCCTTCCTCCTCCTGCAGGCAATCATATCCTGTGGGTGTTGGAGGCAGGTCTGGATTCCAGGTACCACAGGCAGGTAGGCAAATGACCAGGACCACCTTCTTGCATCTGGATGTTGTTTCCTATATTTTTCCTTCTCGTGGCTTAGTATTGTGTATCTTTTCCTATTAATATATTATTTCCCCAGTGATTGCTAACTTATATCGTTTTTATTTTATACACTAAAGTATGGATAAACTGAGATGTTGTAATTGTACAGTGCAGTGTATTTGAGAAATTGTGCATGATCATGTGAGTAGCACTCCAATCAGAACGCAGAAGAATCCTCTT